AGGGGGAAGGGCAGGTGGGCGGTCCGGAGGGATGAGGCTGAGAGATAACGGAGTGACCTGGAAGCGTCTCGGGGGTAATCTTATAGTGAGGGACCGCAGGGTATGGAGGGCCCCCAGTAGGTGAAGGAGAGACACCGAGGCAGGGAGAGAAGCCAAGTTGAGAGGCAACTGCACTGAGAGACAGTGACCTAGTGGGTGACAGGCTGTGGTGCGGGGAGGGGAGCAGACGACACGAGAGAAGGAGGAAGGCGAGGCCGGATGATGGCGAGAGACCAAGAGAAGAGAGATGGAGGGAAGGACATGCCGAAGCCTGGGGCGACTGAAGGAGAGAGGAACTAAGAGGAGAGGGACCCAAATTCCGAGGGAAGGAAAAGAAGATGGCGCAGAGTTAGGCACCGAGAGTATCCAACTGAGAAATGGAAAAAAAATGGATCCGTGTTGTCAACTGGAGAAATGGAAAGAGGGCCGTCTAAGGAAATGAAGAAGAGGGAGAGACAGGAAGGGCGAGGCACGGACAGACCCGTGGCTTTGGGAAATGGAGATGGAGCTAGAGATGGAGACCGAATGGACATGACGTCACCGGAAATCCACGAGGCATAGAAACCGAGAAACAGCAAGACAGGTGTGTTGGGAGGTCCCCAAGACGCCTCTCAGAAAGACTCATGCAACTCAGAAAGGCTGTTTTAATCACATTTATAGCCTCCTACAGTGGAAGGACAGAGATTACGATCGGCAAAGGGAAAAGGGGCAAAGCGTCCAGGAGAGACCAGGCACCAGCTTCCAGTTGTCTCTCCCAGTGGAGCCATGTGGACACTCATTTCTCCCAGCGACATCGTGGGACAGCACGCAAGGAATACTGCTACCCAGGCAGGCTCACCTGAGCCTTGGCATCCAGGGATTTTTTGGGGGGAGGGGAGGGGGTTAGTTATGTAGCATGGAGCCCCCAGGGACCTGTATGATGCTCTGTATGATGGAATGCAACGTAGCAGGAGAAAGGACTCGACCGCTGGTCCATGCAAAGACATGGTGACCCCCCCAGAGCGTTATAATGAGCAGGAGAAGCCAGGCAAGAAAAATCTCCTCATAGTGGCTTGATGTCACGGATAAGAAATTCCGGAAAATGGAAACTATGCTGACAAAAAGCAAACCAGTGGCTTCCTGAGGATGAGGGTGGAGGGAGGGACCGATTACAAAGAAATTTCTGGGTGGCATGGAAATGCTTGCTAAGCCGACGGTGGTGGGTGGTTTCGCAGATATATTTCATCCATCAATTATAACTCAGCGAAGCTGTAGAAAAACAGCACGTAGTCACTTTACGATGTACTCGCTGGGTTTTCCCAAGAGACTGACGAGGTGTCTTGCGTGGGTTTTGCGTCCCTGCCTTTCCAGTCACCACAACCATCTCGCAGTCATTTAAAAAGCTGGAGCGCGATATTTCTTGTTTAATTATAACATTCTGACAACCCGACGAATGTTCTTCCCTCATTTTACAGATAAGGAACGAAGTGTAGAGGAGGTCGGAAACTCGGCTAAGTTCAGATACCATGGTTTCCCTAAATGCAGAGACCTCTGTGAACTCTGAATTCTTTTTAGAAAATCGAGATACCGTTGACATACAACGTTATGTTAGCTTCAGATGTGCAACGTAACGATCGCCTATTTGTGCGTATTGGGAAATGGTCGCACAGTAAGTCTAGTCGACATTCATCACCGTACATAGTTACAATTCTTTTCTTTTAAGGTCTTTCCTCTTAGCAACGTTCAAATATGCAATATACTATTTCTAACTGTGGTCGCCACGCCGTGCTTGACATCTCCGTGAATTATTTATTTTATAACTGGAGGTTTGCACCTTTTGGTCACCTTCACGCATTTCGCCCACCTCTACCCTCCACTTCTGGCAACCACCGATCTGTTCTAAAGAATACGAAGCTGGTGTTTTTTGTGTTTGTTTCTTCGTTGTTTTAGATTCCACACGTAAGTGAGATCATACGGTATTCGTATTTCTCTGACTTATTCTCTTAACATAATACCCTCAAGATCTATCCAAGTTGTCTTAAATGGCAATATTTCCTTCTTTTTTATGGCTGAATAGTATTCCAGTGTGTGTGTATGTGTGTGTGCGCACGCGTGCGTGTGTGCCACGTGTATCTTTATCATTCATCGTCGATGGACATTTAGGGTGCTTCCATATCTTGGCTACTGTAAATAATGCCACAATGTATATGGGGGTGCATATATCTTTTTGAGTTCGTGTTTTGTTTTGTTTTTCACATAAATACCCAGAAGTGGCATCTCTGGATCATAAGGGAGTTCTCCTTTTCATTTTTCAAGGAGCCTCCATACTGTTTCCATAGCGGCCGTATCGATTTATATATCCACTAACGGCAAACAAGAGTTCCCTTTTCTCTACGTTCTCTCCATCGCGTGCGAGCTCATCTTTTTGATGATGGCCGTCCTAACAGGTGTGAGGTGGGACCTCACTGTGGTTTTGATTTGCATTTTTCTGATGACTGGTGATGTTAAACACCTTTTCATGTACCTATCGGCCATCTGTAAGTCTGTTTTGGAAAAATGTCTGTCTATTCAGATCCTCCACTCACTTTTTGCTCCAGTGTTGTATGAATGAAAACCTCCCATTCCATGGGTTGCCTTTTCATTTTGCTGATGGTTTCCTTTGCTGTGCAGTGTTATGGTGCGAACGATTCTGAGACCCACGGAGCCAATTGAGATTAATTATGAGCCTTTATTAGCCGGCCGGCGACTGACTCTCTACCACGCAGGGCTAGAGGAGATCAGCCCCGAGCTTTCAGAGGAGGCAGCTGATAAAGCTCAAGACCATATCCTGGTGGTCTCCTGAACAAGCAAACAGATTACAGAAGTGGAAGTTGGCTTTTAGCATATCTTTGCCCGGAACAACACCCTTAATTAACAAGTAAATGGATTACAGAAGTAGACATTGGCCATCTTCATATTCTATACAATATACTTCCTAAACCACACAAAAGCAAGTAGGACAAGTTCTGGTATCTAAAGATATTTCTTCCCTGTAGCTGACTTAGCTAGTTGGCTCACTTGAAAATTTTCCACCCTTAACATGCAGGAGCTTTTTAGTTTGACTTAGTCCTACTTGTTTATTTTTGCTTTTATTCCCTTTGCTTTTGGTGTCAATTCACGCTTCTTATCGTTTTCAATTCTTTCCTCTCGCCTTCCATTGAGTGTATCGATTATTTTTCTGTACTGCTTCGAAAGTCTCTACGTAATCCCGTTAGTGATTATCGAGGGGCCGTACTAATACTTAATTTTTTTCCCTTTCGATGTTTCAGTTATACCAAATGTTCATCCTCCCCCCAAAAGAGGCGAGAACCTAAGTGAGCATGCCTTCCCCTCCCTGCCCCCGCCCTCCGCCTACATCTTGCAACTCGCATTTTCATACTTTTAGTTTTACATACGAATTGGAATAAGCATTTCTTTTTGTGGCCACTACTTTTTTTATTTCTCCCCTCGCTTTTTTTCCAACCACTTCCTTCTGAATAATTAATTTCTCTTCTTGTTTGTCCTACGTTCTTTCAAAGAGTGTCTATGGGAGGTGAGTTTTCAGAGGTTTCTGATATCGCCCTCCTGTTAAATAATCTATCATCTGGTTATTATATTCCATATTTAGACTTGTAATCTGTTGTCACATGGAGGCTGTTACCCCATTATCTCTTTGCATCTAGATTTGCTGTGGAGAAGTTGGATGGCAATCTGATCCTTATTCTTTTATAAGTAATCTCTCTCTCTCTTTTTTTTTTTCTGTACGGATTTTTGTGACTTCCTTTTTTTTCATATTTTCAAATTTTGCTAATATTTATCTCATTTTGTTATTCTCCCTGGACCACCTACTGCATCTACCTTGCTCAGCATGCAGTCAACATTTCAGTACTGAAATATCGTGTCTTTAGTTCTTGGTTACTTTTCTTGGTTATTATTTATAATAATATGAGTTATAAAATTCTTAGTTAATATTTTCCACATAGTACTTCCCTATCTGCTTTCTCTTTTCTTCAGAGAGATTCTGTAGGCTAGGACTTTTATTTATATCATCCACGTATCTTAATTTTTTTTCCTTAGAGTTTTTCTCCAGCCCTTATGGATGACTTTGGGAATCGTATTTCCAGCTCATTCATTTATTCCTTAGTTGGATCTACTCTGCCATTTCACGCGCCGACCGAGTTCTTCATTTCAATAATTATATTCATATCCCTTATTTCCACTTAGGTTCTACTGCTTCGCATTCTCTTCTTGCTTTGGGTTTTCAATATCCTCCCTTATTTCTCTAAGGATATTTATTGTGCTTGTTTTACAGGCCTTATTATCTCCACTTCATTGGGTATAGCTTCCTCCCAGCCAGACTGAGACAGCCGAGCCTCCTGGGCACGCTGACAATTTTACACTTCAGGAAAGGTAACAATTCAGTGCTCCTTAAACCTCGCAGTTTCACATTATTTTTCTTGGAACGTTGACGGAGAGGTGAAGTGGAGAAACTGATGTCTATTCACCCAAAAAATATGGGCAGAATGAGAATTCCTGATTCTGGCCAGAGCAGAGACAATTTTCTGGTAAAAAAAAATAAAAACAAAAACAAAAACAAAACAAAACCCAAAAAATCCCAAAACCCAAAACACAACAACAACAAAACTGTCAAGGACCATCCGTGCGTAGTAGGTGCTATGGGTGCTCCTCCCCCTCCTCTCCCTCACCCTGTCTCCGTCCCCCGCCACCCCAACCCTGCTCTCCTGCTTCAGGGCCTGGCTGGCACTTTCCAAGACATACGCAGCCTCCCAGCTCAGCACTCAGCTTTCTCCTCCGGGCTTTTTCTGACCTCATTCAGCTCACTTGGACTCCAGGTGTACCCCAAAGGGTGGGCAGGGGGAAGTTACTGTTCCCTGAGCAACCCACGCCCAAAGGGAGGCAGAAGCGAGGGCATCGACGCTCCAGCGCCCCCTGGCTGCAGCGAGAAGATTCTGAGGCGTATTCCCCCTGCCCAGCAGGATTGAGCCCCCGTCCCTCACAGCTGTTCCCCACGGACTAACACACCCTCCACTGGCTTTTCCCCTCCGACTCATTTTTTCCCTTCTTCCTTCATCTTGAGGTCACTTCCCAAATTAACTACCATCACCCAAGACGTTATCTCAGAGTCTGCTTTTGGGGAAAGGCAGGCGACAAAATGTCCACACGTCTCTAGATCTCATTCTATTGTCAGTTCTCTCACGTATTTATTTATTTTTGTTTCCGCAGACTTTGTCCTCTTCTTGCGGGGCATAGGAAACAGTTTAAAATGAGAGGATTATATAAATTGCTTATTTCCAGGAAAAGATCTCGGGCTTCATTTTCAGCCGATTGCACGTGTATGTACTCACGAGCAATCGTAACAGCAGAGAGAGACCTTAAAAATGGAGAAGGCTTAAAACACCCAAGCGGGGGACCACCATCCATGTGGTGAGGGCCGTACAGGAAGTTGAGACCAATTTCTCCCCGTGGTGCTCGAGGCCAGCGCTTCGTAGCCATTAAGATGCCTAGGAATCACCTGGCATCTTGTTAAAACACAGGTGATGATTCAGCAGCGTCAGGGGGGACCTGAGAGTCTCCACTTCTCACACCCCAGGAGATGCTGATGCTGGGGGTTGGGCATTGCACTTGGGATGGGGGGAGGCGAGGCCCCCAACCCAGCTAAATTTAGGATCTTTAATATAAGAGGGTCTGCTGGTGGGAATGCACATGGCACAGGCGCTTTGGAAAACTGTCACTGCGGTAAGTTGAGTGGTGTCTCCCCCAAAGAGACATCCACCCAGGACCTGGGAAGGTGACCTCATTTAGAAAAAAAACCGGTCTTTGCGATGTAATTAAGTTAAGGACCTCGAGGTGAGGTCATCCTGAATTATCCAGGTGGGCCCTAAACCCAGGGGCAAGAGACAAAAGAGGAGACAGAGAGAGACCCGGAGGAGAAGGCCACGTGAAGACGGAGGCAGAGACTGGAGCCACGCAGCCACGAGGCGTACCTGGGGCTTCCAGGAGCTGGAAGAGGCAAGGACAGATCCTGTCTCAGAGCCTTGGGATGGGGCACGGCCCTGCTCACGCCATGATTTCCAGCTTCCTGCCTCCGGCCCGTCGGGGTGGTTTTAAGCAATCCCTCCCCTTCCCCCCGCCCCCGTTTGTGGTCATTTGTTACCGTGGCTGCAGGAGGCTAATGGTCAGTTTCTTAAAAACACACACTTAGCATTTCACCCGGCGATCCTACTCCCAGATGCTTTCTCTGGAAACTTAGGACCGCAGATAACCCGGGCCGAGAATGTTCACAGCGTGTTTTTTTTAGGAACTGCCCCAAACTGGAAACAACTCAGATAAATGTCTTTCAGCGGGCGAAGAGATGAACAGATGGTGACACATCCAGGCAGTGGGCTACTACTCAGCTGTTCAGAGGAACTCGTGACGCACACGGTGACACGCACGAAATGTAAACACATTTTGCTGAGTGGAGGAAGTCAGATCGAGAAGGCTGCGGACTGTGCGATTCCATTTCTAGGGCATTCTGGGAAAGGCAGCCCTGGCCATGGAGAAGAGATCAGTGGTTGCCAGGGGTTACGGGCGGGGGAGGGGCCGGCTGCAAAGTGGCAGCCGGAGGGAATTTTTTGGGGGTGAAGAAGCTGTTCTGGGTCTTGTTTGTGGGGATGGTGACACGACTTGAAGCTTCTTTTTTTTAGCTTTGTCAAGACCCATCGAACTGTAACACCACAAAGAGAGGATTTTCTTGTAAGTTAGAATAAATTAGTAACAACTAATTTCTTAGTTGACATTTTAGAATCAGAGATGCTGTCTTCTTCACACACTTACAGCGTGAGAATTCGAAACTTGTGGAATTTTCAGAGTAATCATAATATAAGCTCCCATTCTGAATTCTGTCAGGGTTAACCCGTCTCACCTCAACCCGCTTCGGTCATGGTGAAGTTCTGGGAGTGGCACCTTGCACTTGGCCACCGCTCGGTGAGTGTTGGCTATTATCATTATTGCTGGTGGTAGTGTTTTCCCACAGCCTTTGAGAGGTCTCTGCCCGATGCAGCCTCTAGCTTTGTTCTCCAAGCCTCCCCTGGTGCTTGCTGACACCCTCTGGCTCTGAGGTTCAGGCGGTGACAGAAGCTCTGGTGAACTATACTGCTCCTGCCTGTCACCACATCCTGACTCGGAGGCTAGTGTGGCCACTGCAGAGGAGCCTCAGCATAGATGGGCATCTGGCCAGCTCTGGGTTTCTTGTGGCCTCAGGCAGGGTGGTGTCACAGCAGCTTCTCTTTAAGATGTGCTGATGGCAGCCACCCACTCAGCCCAGTCCCTTTAGATGGAGGTCAGGCTTTGCATGGTGCTGGGGAACAGTGGATACAAAACACGACGTGTGCCATATGCCACTTGGTCATAGTCCTTTTCTGCTCCTTTCTATTGTGTAAATTTTAAGCCTCTCAGGTAAAATTTAAAAAAAAAACACAAAAACTTTTATTGACATGCATACAAAATACAGACAGAAAAATTCACAAATCATAAAAGTACAGCTTAATGAACTTCCAGAGCTGACCATCTCTGTGTCACCAACAACTGGATCGAGAAAAAGAATGTTTCCGGCCCCCAACCCCTACTCTGCCCCGATGCTCCAAGTTCCTCCCCCTCACAAATAACCTATCCCGGGTCATAACACCCAAATCTAATTTCGTCTGCTCTTGAACTTCATATGAACAGAATTATTCGGCGGGTATGCTTTAGAGTCTGCCTGCTTTCTCTCAACAGAATGGCCTCGAGATTCAGCCATGTTTGTTGCAGGTACTAGTTTTTTTACTATCGGTTTTTCCCTTCTCCTTACTGCTACATAGTACTCCATTACACGAATATGCCGTTTATTTACCCATTCTACTGTTGATGGACTTGACTTTCGGTTGGTTTCCAGTTGTTGGTTATTATGAGTAAAGCTGCTGTGAACATTCTCGTATGTCCTTTTTCAAGATACATGCTTGCTTTCTGTGGGGTGAATGCTTAAGAGTGGGATCGCTGGGTCAGAAGTCAGGTGTGGATCTCATTGCTACATGTGGACGCCATCCGACGGTTTCCCTGTTGACCAAGAAAATCATTAGCTCTTTGCCGTGTGCTTATTGGCTATTTAGAGATCCTGGTTTATAAAGTGCCTGATCAGACCTGTGGCCCATTTTTTTTTTTCCATTGGGTTGTCTTTTTCTCATGATTGTTGAGAATTCTTTATAGAGTCTAGGTACACATTCTTTGCTAAAGATACGTAATGTATCTTCTCCCACGCTGTGGGTTGTCAGGTCTATCGGTTGTATTTTTTTTTCTCTTAGCGCTGACCGAAAGAATCCCATTTCAATCACTTTGAAACTGTAGGTTTTTCTAACTACTGGTGAAGATGCATTTCAGCAAGATAAGAAAAAAAGCTTTTCTCTCTTTCTCCACAATTGGAGGGAAGCAGACAATCATGGAAATGCCCCTGTAAATATAATTTCTAACAAAGAGATCTTACAAGACATCGAAACTGCAGATTTAGTTGTTATAGCCCTTGTAAGTAACTTTCCACTCCCGAAAAGTCTGTCATCGTGATGGGTCGTTGTGTAGTAAGAACCCGAACCTTGCTCACGGAGAGTTCCGGCCATCGTCCTCAGCCCCTGCGAGGCACTCACCGAGCCCTCAGAGTGTCCTGCCTGATAATAGTGTTTTTGTTTGCCTGGGGGCCTTGGGCCACTCCTGGTAGTCTAATGGCTTGGCTTAGGGGAGGGCTTTGGGTCATGTGGTATCAACTAGACCTCTGAAGGGGCTGGAGACCAAGATCAAGATGAGCCACACTGGTGACCAAGCAGGTCTATGTGACCAAGTGCCAGCGAAGACCCACCACAGCTTCCTGGGCGAGCTTCCCGGTTGGCGATGCTTCACACGTTGTCACACGTTGTTTCTGAGGGAGCACTGCCCATGACCTCTCTGGGAGAGGGCACCTGGGAGCTACGGGGACAGAACCCTCCTGGATGTTTCCACGTGGCCAATTTTAATCTCTATCCTTTGGCCGATTTTAATCTCTATCCCTTCGATGTAATAAACCGACCACGAGCATAAACGGCTTTCAGAGAGTTTGGGGAGTCCTAGCAAATCATCAAACCTGAGTGTGGTCTTGGGGACCCTCAGACTTGCAGTTGCTGTCAAAGTGAAGATGGCCTTGGAACCGTTCAAATTTTCAGTTGGTGTGAGAAGCGAGGGTGGGCCGTTCCTGTGTTTTACAGTTGTCTGTTTTAATATCATTATTCGAATTGACACCCCTGTTTTCTGCGAAATGTGTGAATTTTCTTTAGTAAACCAGAAGAAAGTCATTAGCACATCCTCCTTCCCTTACACATGTTCCTCTGCTAGGTTTCTTATTTAAACAATAATAAATAAGATCGTCTTATTTCAATTAAAGCTACCCTTCCTGATGCTGTTTGTGTGTGACTTTTAGTTGTCCTCTAGTATGTATTTTCCCATTCGTTCACTGGAATAAAATTTCAACAGGACACAGGAACAGCCAGCTCAAGACTAAGTTTTCCCGCCTCCCTTGCAGCTAGGCCCACCCAGTGATTACGTCCCAGCCCATGGGCTGTGAGTGAGAAACAAATTGTGCCACTTCTGAGTCTTGCCCTTGAAAGAGTAGACATCTTCACTCCTGACTCCTTTCCCCCTTCCCTATTGGGATATGGTGAGAGCTCCAATAGCCCCCTTAGACCCCAAAGTAGAAGCCATGAGTTGCACATGGTATGTGAGACACGATTGAACTTAAAGGTAACACTCAGAGATGGCTCTCCTTGTCAGATCATGTGTGTGTCCTGCCATGGGGCTCCAACCACCTGGAAAGGGCACTTCTTTCTAATTCACACAAAGGCTCTGGCTGGGATAATGGTGGCTTCAGAGTGGTATCATCCTATGAACATATAATGTGAGCCACAGATGCAATATTCATAGGTCCTCTTAAATTTTCTAGTGGCCACATTAAAAAGGTAAAAAGAAACAGGTGAAATAATGAGAGTAACATATTTAATAAAACTATCGTCATTTACTAGATTAACACCAATGATATTCCTGATGTATTAACCTATTATCCTCATAGTAATGTTAATATTATATATTTATATTGTCACATCCCATGATCTTTTCATATGTAATAACAATAATATAATTAATAATATATTTTGCTTAACCCAGTTCATCCCAAATATTATTTTAACATATAATACAACATAAAAGTCATTGAGATCTTTTACACTTTTTTTTTTTTTTCCCGCAGTCAGTCTTTGAAATCTGATTGTACTCATGGCCCATCTCAATCTGGACTCACCATATTTCTTTTAATTAATTGATTAATTAATGAAAAGATTTTTTATTAAAATAGAGCTAACATACGGTATTAGTTTCAGGCATACACGATAGTTACTCGACATTTAGATCCCTAGGAAAGCGATCGCTAAGTCTGGCACCCACGTGGGCCCGTACAGCTATTACAACATTGTTGGCTCTGTTCCCTGCACTGTCCTTTACATCCAGGTGACTATTTCGTAACTACCAATTCATCCTCCTTAAACCCTTCACCCTTTCCGCCCGGCCCCCAACCCCTCTTTCATCTGGCAACCACTAGCTCGTTCCCTGCATCCATGAGCCTGTTTCTGTTTTTGTTTGTTCGTTTATCTTGGGACTCGCCACGTTTCAGTTAGTAGCCACGTGCGGCTGGTGGCTGCTGTTTTGGACAGCACGAGGTCTGGGCTTTGAAGGATGACACCTTCAAAGGCTACAATTCCATTTCTAGAGAGTTATCTGCCACCACTACCGGTACAGCGGCACCAGGGTGTGTATTCGAGGGGGCTCATTGTGACAGGGACAAACATAGTGGAAACCACCTAAAATACCACGAATAGGGAAGTGATTAAATAAACAATGAACGATTGATTTATTATGCTGCTAAGATGAAATAAGGCGTTTTCAAATATTTACGAAAGCATTATTCTGAAAAAAAGAAAAAGTAGTGATAGAATGACATTATTGGGACAACTGGTGAAATTTGAATGAGGGTCACGGATTACATAATGGCGATGTGTCAATATCACATTTCCTTATTTCAAAATCGCCCTGCAGTTATGACAGAAAGCCTTGTGCTTAAGAGAGACACGCTGAAGAATTTAGGGCAAAGAAGCATGATGTTTCCACTTTACTCTCAAAAGATTTGGAGGGGGTGGGAAATGCAAATAGATATATAGATATGGATATGTAGCTGTATAGAGACCTCCTGTATTAGTTTTCTGGGGCTTGCTGACCCCACAGTTGTGTTAGCCAGTTCCTTAAAAGGAATCTCTCTCCCTCTCTCTATCTCCTGCTGGTTCTGTTTCACTGGAGACCCCCGACTGATACCAGTCTCACCCCAAGTACGTAGTGGGAGCATGCTGAAGACACAGGGCAGATGCCACCGAGACATACTTTAGGCCTTCACTCTCTTTGTCATTTCCCTTTAAGTTTGAAATTACATCAAGAGAAAAAGTTGCAAAAAAAGTTATTCCGAGAAGGGGGTCATAACTTCATCAAAGGTCTAGGGCAGAGAAAATATTAAGAACCCACGACTTAGGGCGCTACGCAACTTTGGTTTCAAATCCTAAAATACGGAGAGATGAGGTCTGGCCTCTTGAGTTTCCCCGAAAGCAAACGCCCCCTTGAGGTCATGGTCAGTATAACAACACGGCATTCTTACCAGCGCCAAATGCCCACAAATTGACCTTGGAAACTCTTGCTGAGTGACGGAGACCACACTCAAGGCTTCGCTGAGTGGTGCTAAAGCTTGCTGAACATCGTGCGCCTGCGTGTCCTCGGACGCAAGTACCACGTTTTAAAAAGCCTGGGCGAATACACGCCAAACTGCTCATAGGAGCTTCAGGTTTTGTTTTGTTGCGTTTTGTTGGGAGGAGTGCATTTCTGGAGTGTTCGAATGTTCGCAGTGTGCACAGATCCATCCTGCAATGAAAAGAAAGCTTGATCTTTGCAAATTGAACGTTGCCGTAGGAAAATAACGCTTTGTGGAGGAAAGGAGTGGGCGGCAGGTTGCAGAGTTGCAGAAGAGCATGGGAAGGATGAACCCGCAGGTGTACCCATCATCAAAATCATGTTCATTTGGATGGGCTGAAGACCGGTTCCCACCCATGTCCACATCCTGATTCTTGGGAGCAGTGGTGTGACCTCATACAGCAAAAAGGACTTGGCAGATAACTCACGGATCTTGCAATGGGAGATGATCCTGGCTTAGCCAGGGAGGGGGCTAAATGTAATCACAAGGGTCTTCATGTGAGGGAGGCCGAGGGAGATTTGAGACACATAGCAGGTGACGAGGCGTATGACCCTAGTAGAGGCAGAGGTGGGAGGGATGACCGCCAGCCAAGGAATGCTGGCAGTCACCAGTCACTGGAGGAGACAGGGGACAGACTCTCTTCTAGAGCCCACAGAGAGGGCCTGGCCCTGCTGACCTCTTCATTTTGAACTTCAGGTCTTCAGAACTACGAGAGGATTCATTTCCATTGTTTTGAGCCACTCAGCTTGTGGCAGTTTTTTACGGCAGCAAAAGAACACTAATCTAGACTCCTTCCTCAACCCAGGCTCCAGTACGAGAGGATTCATTTCCATTGTTTTGAGCTACTCAGCTTGTGGCAGTTTTTTACACTAATCTAGACTCCTTCCTCAACCCAGGCTCCAGCACGTTTCCATGAGAACCCAGGATGAGGCTGGAAAGGGTGGCTGCGGCTCAGGTGTGTGTGTGTGTGTCAACTTCAAAGCCCCCGGGAGCAAGGCTGACGGGTCCCCGAGCGCTGGGTCACCTCCACACACCTGCTTTGCCTCTCTGAGCCTCCAAGCAGCCCGGTTGGGAGGCTGGGGGGTCTCCATCCCGTGTTCCCAGGACCCCAGGGGAATTCAAGCCAATTGGACCCCTGAGCTTTGCCAGAGCTGCAGCTGCCTGGGGCTCTCGAAGGCGAGAGAGAGATGGTCTCGAATGGGGAAACCAAAGCCCAGAGCGGGGCCAGGTCCAGATCGGGGTACGGGGTCCCTTTCATCCGGCTCCCTCCCTCCTTGGACCGGGAGGGAACGTCCTCCTCCTCCTCCTCCTCCTCCTCGGTTTTCTGAGCCTTGACTCCCTTCTCTGCCCCACAGAAGTGGCCTCAGCCGGGATGCCCTGTGCACAGACCAATGAGAACCTTGGAGGAGAAGGAGGGTCATTTCCTCTCCGCTCTCTGCACCTCCCTCGGGGCTTTAAAAACCACAGCCCTCAGGCGGGAGAGACCTTCGGTCAGCAGGGACTCCGAGACCTAAACATGGTGAGTCTGGAAGGGCCAGGGCAGGAACCCTCCACCCTCGCCCTCTCCTCTCTGGGCTCCCACCTCTCTCCCCACCTCTCCCCTTCCCTCTCTTTCCTCCTCCCCCTTGTCCTCCATCTCCTCCCTTCCCCTCTCTCCCTCATCTCGGATTGTCCCCATCCTGGGCTGGGATGCAGCTAGGGAGTAAGTGTGGCAAGAGGTCGTTGAGGCGCCACTGCAAAGTCCTGGGCTGGCACCCAAAAGTTCCTGAGGGCAGGAAATTCGAACGTTGGGTCAAGCAGAAGGACTTATTCCTCGGGTGGGGAAAGGCCTTCTGGGCAGCAGGGGTGGCATGAGCAGAAGCAGGGAGGCCGGGAAGAGCCGGTTTGGGAGAACAGCCAGGTTACTCACCGGCACGGTCAGGCGTTTGGAACTGGAGACCGAGGCAGCAGTGGAGATGGTCCCGGTCTTGCGGTGGTTGGTGGCAGAACCAGGCCGTCCCCTGGGCTCCGTGAGTGTCAGAGGGAGGGCGTGTCCAGGCTACGTGGGGACCTGTGCCCCCCCACCCCCACCCCCCCACCCCCACCCATCTGAGCGAGTCGGGGCTGAGAGTTAGCACCTGCCCACTGTGCTTGGAAGGTCTGGGCTTCATCCAGCGGGGAAGGGGAGCCGGGAGGATGGGTCGGCTGCCCTGGGGAGGGATCTGGTGTCGCTTTGTTGCCCTCACCCCACTCTGAGACCCGGCTTGGCTCAACAGGACTTCAGAATAAGGTTTGCCCTTACCTTGGCTTCTTTTTCTTTCTAAGAAATAGTCCCAAATACCAAAGGGTATTCAGCAAGAAGTCATTCTCCCTGCCCTCCCCAGGGTTTCAGGGCCTTGGTCACTGGCCCCCGGAGGCAACGGTGGGCACCAGTTCCTGGTGGATCCTTCCAGAAACAGCTCACAGGTACTCAAGGACGATACATAAGGAAGGAAGGAAAGAGTAACTAGTTTGATGTAGGGGTCGAAGGAAAACGAGGTTCAAATTCCGCCTCTCCTTTCAGATGAGGATACTAATCCAACAGAATCCGAACCTATTTCACAGTGCGAACGACAATCAGTGCAGTAAGCGTGGCTGTTAAATTAGGGTCCAGAGGTGACTGGGGAAGTGGATTCTGTGTACGTCTCCGTCTCCCGCCTCAGTCCTCAGAGCCGCCTGCGGTTCCCAAAGCTGCACCGTAAACAGCCTGGAGCCACAGCAGTGGACGCATGTGGACCTCACCTCCTGCATCTGCTCGAGGTTCCTGCCTCCTTCCCCGGCCTGAGAACCTGGCCGGCCACGCTTCCTCTGCAGGGAAGAATGCTGCTTGTGGTTTTTGCCTTTAGGAACCTGCCTTTCTTTGCTCTTTCCTGAGGCCGGTTCGAGTGGCTTCCTAAATCTGTGTTTCTGGGGCGGCCAGTCTTTTCGCTCAAATAAATGCTTTCTATTCTTTATGACAGCCCAGACCTCCTTCAGAGGGTTGATAAATGAGATAATACGTGGAAAGGGAATAAAACAGCGTGTGGTGTGCGGCTGGTACTCAGCGCAGGCGACTAGCTATCCTTCCTCCCAGCCGTTGCGAACAGAAGCATGTTTCACACGTTCTCTTGCATCTTGCTTTTTTTGTTTGTTTGTTTCCTGTGACTGTCATATGTTAGTAACCAGCATTTATTGAGCGCCTGATGCATACCAGGCGCTGCGCCCTGTGCTTCACGCTTTCTCATTCCGTCTTAAACAACCGATCAGAAAGGTACTGTCATCTTCCCGTGTATTTCAGAGTCACCGTTATCTTTTGATCAGCTGTATGATACGCCAGGGGCAGGTTCCACCCCCTGTCAATGGAGACTCAGGCGGTTTCTAATATTCTATCTTTAAAGTTCCATCTTCGGACTGACGTCTGAGTTTCTAGAATTGCAAATGCTAAATCCAAGGCATCAGCATTTTTTTTTAATTTTTTTTTTTAGCAGATATTGCCAAATGTACTAACTCACACTTCCCATCTACGGCACACAGAGTGTCTGTCTGTCTACGCCCGCGTCTGCACGGTGATAGCCAATGTTTTTTGTTTGTCTGTTTGTTCTTTGTCTCGCCAAACCGAGATGCAGTTCTTTGCATCCTCAAGCATCTGGAGGCTTGTCTCTCGCGTGTGGTTTTTATTTTATTTTATTTTTATATTTTAGATCTTCTTTTTTTTGGAGGTTTATTTCATTCATTCTTTACAAAGACCCTGCTGAAGTAACTCGTTCTAGTTAACTATGGTGACATTGGTTAAGGAAATCCAGTAAGTTTCAGCTGTACATTTTAATAGTAAGGCATATATATATTTACACTGTGGGTTCACCTCCCATAGTTAGATTTCTTTCTGGCACCACATATTTGACCCCCTTTCCCCACGTCTACCTCTCTCCCTCCCCCGACCCTCTGGTAACTACTACAGTCCATGTCCACGAATCTCTGTTTGTCCTGTTCATTTGTTGCTTTTAGGTTTATATCCCACATATAAGTGATGTCATATGGTTTTCAGCTTTTTCTGTCTGGCTTATTTCGCTTAGCATGATTATCTCGAGGTTCATCCATGTTGTTGCAAATGGCAGTATCTCATCTCTTCTTATGGCTCAGTAATGTTCCGTCGTCTATACGTACCACAGCTTCTTTAGCCGATCATCTATCATAGGACACTTCAGTTGCTTCCATGTCTTGGCCACCGTGAATAACGCTGCTATGAACGTCTGTGCGCAGATATCTTTTTGGATATGGGTTTTCAAGGCTTTGGAGTAAATACCCAGTAGAGGGATTGCATGTGGTTTTTAAAATAAGAGCGTCTGTGCATCTGAACGCTTAGGGGTTTCGGGTCACAGGCATTGCGCACATGTAGGAGAATCAATGAGTCGCGGCGCCGACCACCACCCTCGTATCCCGTGTCTCAGAGGACATGAGCTGCCGTGGCTCCCCGTGGTTCCGTGGCGGCTTCCTGACAGAGGTCGTGTCTCTGCAGCGACGGGGAGGGCGGGCATCCAGGGAAGAAAGCGGACCTTGCCTCCCGTGCGCTCCTGGCTCCAACGGAAATGCGGGTCTGTCACTTCCTCTGCGATGGCGGCTGGGGTGAGGGGACACTTGGCAGGACTTTCCCCGATGATGGAACGGTGGGGAGGGACGGGGGCGGGGCCAGGGCAGAGTTGACCTTGCACCAGCTGCACGGCAGTCCGTCAGTCCGTCAGTCCATCAGTCCATCAGTCCGTCCACGGCCAAGTCCTGCCTCTTCTCGCTTCTGTTCCCCCAACCATCACCCTCAACCCGAGCCCCGACTTCACTGGCCTGGATCCCTGCTCCCGCCTCCTCTCCGGTCCCCCGGCCGCTGGCCTAGTTGCACCTCCTCACAGCAGCCAGAGGGCTTTTTCTAAACCTAACCGCTAACCCCGGCCCTCTGCAGCTCAGACAGCGCACACGGCTCCCCATCACCCCGGGGCAAAATGCGACGTCCTTAACGCGGCATCTGTGGACCCTCCAGCCTCGTAGTCTTGGCCACGTATCTTTCATTTCCCGGGGTGTGCAGCAGCCTCTGCCTCCTCCTCCTCCTCCTCCTCCTCCTGCCGGAGATGCAGGGCCTTCGCCTCCACCGCCCTGCCCACCAGGCCTTGGACAGGTCTCTCTGTCACCTCGCTTTTCTCATCTGTGACACAGGCGATCTGACAGCAGCAACCCGCACAGGGCCGTTCTGTGCCTTGGCTGAGATGACACGTGAAAAGGAGCTCAGGGCAGAGCTGGCCGTTGCGGTCGCCGTGCTCGTTCGTGACACCGTGCCTTCCCCTTCCTCCTGTTCTCCGGACCATGCCTGTCCCCTCTGGGCCACCACCCCCAGGCAAGCCCCCACTGTTGCTCCATCTCACGATTCCAGTCTCCTCTTCTGCGCTAGGAGCCCTTGCTCCACCCAACACACAGGGCTCTTAAAATGGGGACCATAATAACACCCTGCCCTTCAGGACATTGCGACAGTAGATACCGTCATTAATTAATTAATTAACGAGCACACCTAGAAAGTGCTTAGACCGGTGCCTGGCATTCGGGGATCCCTCAGCACCACCCCCAGACTCTCTGAGACGGTAGCGACTCGACACACGTGTGATCGAAATTTACATGAGATGACACAAAATTAAACGTGCAGTTCCTCAGGTGCATCGACCGCATTCCGCGTGCGTCGCGGCCCTGGGTGGCTGGCGGCTACCGTCCCAGACGCCACCCGAGAGGGTTCCCGCCAGAGCCAGAAAGTTCTATAGGCTGGTTCCCAGGGACCTTCTCCTGCCCACACCAGCTGGCCCGTCATTGAATACTCCAGCTCTCATCGCCCGGGATTAGTTCCCGTCCCTTGCAGACAGACTGTCCCCTCTCGGAGGACAGGTGTCGGGAACCAGTAAATATTTGTGCGATGAAGAAATTTTCTGAGGATCTTCCTAGACTCCTGGAATTCTAGAGCCATGAACCCTTTTGTATATTTTACATAATACCCATTATTTTGGAGGGCGGGGCGGGCTGTGCACTCACTGGTACGGTTCTCTACATAAGACATAAGAAGAACGAAACACACATGGTGACAAGTTTTCTTCCGATGCCTGCTCCAGGCCCCTGCTTCCCCTCCCCCGGGCAGCTGCTGTTATAAGTGTTCTCTGTCTGCTTCTGGAGCTGGACCGTCCACACACAGACACACAGAAATGGACGGGATGATAGCGATAGAGAGAAGGAGGGAGAGAGAGGAAGGGGGAGGGAGGAAGGAAAGATGGGAGGTTGGAGAGAGACAGGGAGAGGGAAGGGGAGAGCGAGAGAAAGAGAGAGAGAGAGAGAGAGCGAGAGAGTGTTTCTCCTTTTGTTGGTAGATTTTTCCAGTCCTTGCTTTTCCTATTTCGTCTAGATCTTGGAGCCCTTCCGCGTCAGTGCGTAAACTTCCTTCCTTTCTTTTTTTTTAATTAAAATTATTGAAGCGACATCGGTGAATCAAATCAAATAGGTTTCAGTGTACGATTCGATACCATGTCATCTGTACATCGTATTGTGTGTTCACTACCCAAAGTTAAGTTTCCTTCTGCCACCCAATATTTGATCCCCTTTCCCCCCTCCCCGTCTCCCCTCTGCTAACCACTAGTCCACTGTCCACGACCGTGAGTCTCTGTTTGTCATGTTCGTTTGGTACTTTTAGGCTTATATTCCACTTATGAGTGAAATCATGTGGTTCTCAGCTTTTCCCGTCTGCCTTATTTCGCTTAGCGTGATAATCTCAAGATCCATCCGTGTTGTCGCAAATGGCCGTGTTCCATCTTTGCGTAATATTCCATCGTATACCTGTGCCATATCTTCCTTATCCAATCATCCATGGATGAACACTTTGGTTGCTTCCATGTCTCGGCCACCGTGAATAATGCTGCTGTGAACATCAGGGTGCATATATCTTTGCGGAGAAATGTTTTCAAGTTTCTTTTTTTGGGTAAATACCCCAAGGTAGGATTGCTGGGTCATATGGTAATTCCATGCCTGGTTTCCTGAGGAATCTTCTCCATACTGTGTTCCATAACGGCTGTAGCAATTTCCAATTTCCGTGGCCACCAACAGTGTAGGAAGGTTCTTTTTCCCCACATCCTCTCCCATCCTTGTTGTTATTTGTCCTGTTGATGATGGCCATTCTCACAGGTGTGAGGTGGTGGTTTTGATTTGCATTTCCTCAATAGCCATCGTGGTTTCGATTTGCTTTTCTGCAATAGCTAGCGAGGGTGAGCATCTTCTCATACGTCCATTGGCCATTTGTATGTTTTCTTGGGAGAAGTGTCTGTTCAGGTCCTCTGCCCGTTTTTAAATTGGATCATTTGTCTTTTTATTGTCGAGATGCCTCGTTCTTTTTGACGGCTGCATTATATTCTATTGCCTGGATGTGCCCTCATTAATTTAGCCAGTCCTCTCTAGCTGGACGCTTCAGTTATGCCCGGTCTCTGGCGATGCCGTAACGGCCAAACTTTCGTGCCATGTGCAAGGGCCCAGGTGGAAGTCACTGAGTGTTGGTCTTAGCATCTTTTCTCTGCGTTCGTGAGAGGAAATGACCAAATGAGCTCATGTCAGGATGGGTTTTTTGTCAGCTGATGAGATGAGGAGCCACAAGAGCGGGGGTCGAGGGGTGGGGGCGTTGTTCCTTTTTTGGGAATCTGACTCATTCCACAACCAAGGATGGCAGAGGCTTGTGAAACCAGCAGAGGAAAAGTTAGCCTCATGTAGCACGTCCGAGGCGGACATTCGAAATATTTAACAACCCGCAGAGCCCCCCTGAGCAGGGTCTGAGGCCTCCTGCTGTGTCCGGCATTGACCCTTTGGCAACTAGAGGGTGGCCACCTGGGGGGAGAGGGTCTTGGAGTAGAAAAAGGGAAGCTGGGGTGCTGGTGGGGAGCACGGCAGAGGTAGATAGCTCCGGGCAGGGGCCCCTGACCGATAGAATACTTCGACAACTTTAGCTTTCGATTCTGAAATCTTTTCACATTCGATGCAAAGAACTTCCTTATACTCTTTGCCCAGACTCTCCGATTTTGCTCGCTCTGTCATCGATCATCTTTATGCCAAACCGTTTGAGAGCGACTTGCAGGCATTACGCCCCGTTTTTTCTAAATACCCCAGGCTCTGTTTCTCAAGAGCGAGAACGTCCCCCCTCACGAGTGCACGTGGTTATCCACTTCGGGGAATTCAGCTTTCGGTGCGGTGCCCCCGTGTCGTCCACAGACCTGCTCGTCTGTCCGACCGATGCCCCGTGGAGCGAATGCGCTTGTCCTGCTCCGGGGTCCGGTCCGTGGTATCACGTGGCATTTGGTGGCCCTGGCTCTTTAGTCCCTATTCACCTGGAAGAGTCCCTTTCTTGTCTTTATGACACTGGCATTTCTTTTGAATTGAGTAAAAGCCACATGATATGTAATTCACCATTTTAAAGTATGCGCTTCAGTGGCATCTAGGAGTTTCACCATATTGTGCAACCACCACCTCTAACTAGTTCCAGAATATTTTCGGCACCCTCTAAAGAAAGCCCGTACTCATGTAGCGGCCACTCCCTATTGCCCCTCCCCCGGCTCCTGGTGACCACTAGCCCACCCCGTCTCTATGGATTTGCCTGTTCTGGATATTTCCTGGAATCCTACAATATGTGACCTTCTGTGTCTGACTTCTTTCACTCGGCATAATGTTTTCCTGCCTTATCCGCGTTGTGTCTTGTATCAGTACTTCATTCCTTTTTTATGGCTGAATAATATTCCACTGCACGGATACGCTCTATCCTGCTTGTCCGCTTACCAGCCGATGCTGACATCCTCCTTTGAATAATTTGACCACTGGTGTGGCTCTAATGGCAAGGATCCCCAACCATCAGTCTGGCCAACCTTCGAGCCAAGTAAAGGGTCTAGAAAGAAAAGGTTCGTTCAGAGAAAGATCTCAGCTCTTCAGTGATCATAATATTGATAAATGATAACAGCCCTGGCTGCCAATTCTTGTCCTCTTACTGCCAGGCACTTTGCTGGGTGCTTGAACATTTTTATCTTATTTAGTCCGTGAGGTGGGTGTTTCAAATTTTTTTTTTTATTTTAATTTTTTAGGTGAGGCAACCCTTGGCTGACCTCGCAGATTGCAAGGACCTTGTCAGCTTACAATCCCTTATTTTTTTTTTTATTTGACGCCTACAGCACCTGGTCTTCCTAAGAGGTCTCCCATTCAAGTACTAACCAGGCCCCACCCTGCTTAGCTTCTGAGATCAGATGGAATGGGGCTCGTTCAGGGTGGCATGGCTGCAGACAGGACATGGGTGTTTCAGTGGATATAAACTGCCACCCACAAATTCAGGTGCACTGAAAATCCAGCCCTGAATATTTCTGTGATGATGATTTCTCTTTTTCTCTGTCTCTTTTGTCACCTGGCTTGGTGACAAAGTGGCCTTCAGGGATGGGCTAGCTCCAAGGGCCACAGAGCTCTACCCTGAAGTTGCCTTACCTCAGCCATGATCACTCCTTGGAGACGGTCGGGGTGTCCTGCCTGGGTTCGCGTCCCCCCACAATGTCGTGCCTGAGTTATGAGGCCCTCCCAAGCCACTGCCTTCTCTGGGCAGTCACTCCCAGGCAGGATGCGGAGCGGCCTCAGTGGGCGGGAGGCAGCAAAGCCAGTTGATGGGGTGGTGGTGGCAGGTGGTGGCAGGGGGTCACTCTCCAGTGACGTTCAAAACATCCGACATTAAAAACGTCTCACGAGCCACGTGTCGGGGACACTGACCCATCAGAATGGACAGTGACCACGGTGCCACAGCAGTCCAGGCTTCCGCCATTTGTTCGGTTGCTGGGCCACGGGGGAGCTGAGGGACTTCCGGGGGAACCGGCCCTTGGCTCTCAGTGGTCCCCGATTTCCCTGGGGAAAGCTGAGGCTTACAGAAGCAGGGCAATGGGCTCAAAGGCACCTAGCTCTGAGGGCTCCTTGGCACCTGTCTGTGAACTCACGCCCCCCCCACCACTTCTCTGATCCCACCAGAACACCACGGGAACCACTGAGAACTATGACTACTACAGCATGGACCCCAGCATACCAGTGGACGGCTCGTCCAACATCCTGCGCGTGCCGGACATCATCGCTCTCATCATCTTCGTGTTTGTCTTTCTGGTGGGAGTGCCGGGCAACGCCCTGGTGGTCTGGGTGACGAAGTCTGAGGCCGGACGAACCATCAATGCCATCTGGTTTCTCAACCTGGCGGTGGCCGACCTCCTCTCCTGCCTGGCACTGCCCACCTTGTTCGTGTCCATCATCTACGACAACCATTGGTTCCTTGGTGACGCGGCCTGCCGCATCCTCCCCTCTCTCATCCTGCTCAACATGTACGCCAGCATCTTGCTTCTGGCCACCATCAGCGCCGACCGCTTTCTGCTGGTGTTTAATCCCATCTGGTGCCAGAACTACAGAGGGGCCTACTTGGCCTGGATAGCCTGCGGTGTGGCCTGGGTCTCGGCCCTGCTGCTCATCATACCGTCCTTCATGTTTCGTAGGGAATACCATCATGAGTTCCCAAGCAAGACGATCTGTGTCGTTGACTATGGCGGAGACAATACCCATACAGAGAGGACCGTAGCTGCGCTGCGGCTGGTTCTGGGCTATCTGTGGCCGCTGGTCACGCTCACGATCTGCTACACCTTCCTTCTGATCCGGGCTTGGAGCCGCAGCGCCACACGCTCCACCAAGACGCTCAAGGTGGTGGTGGCTGTGGTGGCCAGCTTCTTTGTCTTCTGGCTGCCCTACCAGGTGACAGGGTTATTGATAGCCTTCTTCTCCAAAACACACCCCAGCTTCCACACCTTGTCCCGCCTGGACAACCTGTGGGTCTCCATTGCGTACATCAACTGCTGTATCAACCCCATCATCTACGTGGCCGCCGCCCAGGGCTTCCACTCCCGCCTCCTCAAGTCCCTCCCCGCCGGGATCCGGAACGTGTTGACCGAGGAGACCGCGCTCAGGGACACCAAGTCCAGCACGCTCTCCACGGCAGACACCCTGGCCCAGAAGGACCAGGCGGTGTGAGGAGGGCTCCCCCGGGGCCACTGTCTGCCTGCGCCTCCAACCTTCCCTGGGTCCATTTTTTTTTTTTTTTTGCTTATTTCCACTCCGCCCTGAGTGAGCTCATGCTGTGTTGGTTCTTCCTCTTCTGGGTGAACTCGCTTCGTAACCTTTCTCATTTCCAAGGTCAACACCTCCTTCCAGGGGCGCCCAACCTTCCTTCTCATCCAAGGACTTTGAAACAAACAAACAAACAGAAACCAAGGCACTCGGAGTATCCCCCAGACAGCGACGTGTGTGCGGGGCAGAGTGGGAATATAGGAAAAGGATACGTTAGAGACAAGCGGAAACATCTCAACTTTTAACACAGACAAGTAGAAACATCTTAACCTTTCGAAGAAGAGTTATGTTTTTATTTTCCGGGAGACTTGGGGAAAAAAAACAGCCAGGGCATCCCCACAATTATTCTGGTTTAGGACAGAACAAAAGTACGCAGACTGCTAAGCTTTTGTAAGTGAGTTGACTTCAAGAAAAACAGTAAGTTAAAATGTTACTGAAATAAGTTGTTTAAAGCGTTTTAAGTGAAAGGATTGGATGCGGTTACAAGAAGTGGGAGGAAGGCGTTTCAAAGATGGAGGGCGGGACGCGTTGGTAGGCTACCTCCAGGAGGTGGGGTCATAGAGGAATTTGACTTCTTATTTTGGAAACTACTGTTTGTTCTGCACTTAACAAATAATTAAACTTGGTATTTGGACGTCGTCGTCGACTTGCCTGCGGTTGTAACAGCACAGAGGGGTCTGTGTCCCTTTTGACCTATTTCCCTCAATAGAAAAACATGTTGTAAGACAGCATTGCACAGTCACAAGCAGGATGTTGATATTGATACAGTCCAGGAACAGGACACTTTCAACACCAGCAGGGTGTGACCCGCCCCCTCCAGAGAGCTCCCCCCACTTCACTCCACTTCCTCAGCCTGTTCTGAGCCCACTGGCATGCATGGACCTACTCTTCCCCTCCACGATGTTGCTCTTTCGAGAATGCCAGAGCAGGGGAATCATGTAACTCTTGACTTTTTAAAAAGCTAGTGCGCATCACTCTAATAATGAAAATAAAAACAAATGTCGAAATGTTGTCGTGTACGATTGACTTTAAAACCCTTTTGCTTAGTGTTTTGTGTGTGCGTGCGTATGTGTGTGGATTGGATAGAAATATTGTACAGGCCAGCGCTGTCCAACGGGAATGCGATGTGAGTCACACGGGTGGTTTGGAATGTTCTAGTAGCCATGTTAAAAAATTCGAAAGAAACAGATGAGATAATAGTAATATATTTAATAATGTGATCTGATTATTTGTTATATTAACAACAATGAAGTGAATGCTATATTAATTATGTGAATAGTATATATTATGTGATTATATATTATCTGAGCAATGACTTATGTAATTATATACTAATTATATTTACAAATATAATATAGAAATATATAACTATCATATAAATATATAACTATATTATATAATATAGAAATATATAACACATACTAATACCATATTCATGAACATAATATATGTGTTAGTATAAGAATATGAATGCTATTAATATATGTTTATATTATACTGCTATATATAATATTGAATATATAAAATAATAATAGTGCAGTCAATAATATCTTTTTCTTAACTCAGTATATCCAAAATATTTTTATTTCAACATATAATCAATGTGAAGAATTATTAATGAGCTCTTGTCTTCAAAGCCCTGTGTGTATGTCGCACTCACGATGCCGCCCGGTCTGACCTGGCGCATTCTGGGCGCCAGGAGCCACCGGGGCTCGGGGCCACTGGACTGGACTGGACGGCAAAGGTGCTGATTTCCTTTCTATCTCTGCAAGAGCGGGGGGAGTGGAAGGAGCAGCCTGCAGCCAGGGCTCCTGGCGGGATGTCATGGGATTTGGGGCTCCTGGCAGGATATCACGGGATTCTACACCGTCGAGCCTGCCTTGGGCTCAGCTTTCGCCTAAAGATGCTGTCTGACCCAGCACCTAAAACAGGTGCTCTGCTTCCGGAAGAGGCCGTGGGTGGGTTTTGATGGGAAAATGTTGGTTCCTGTGCAGAGCCCCTGGCAGAAAGGTCGTTGAGGGGAAGATCTGGCTAGGGGGTACCTGCCACCCCTGGGAAGACCCCCGTGATCCTGAAGGTCCCTTCTTCCCCAACTGCCAGCACCCCTCTGTGGCCCTCCTCCGTGGCAGACCCGAGTCTGGCTGGCTCTTCTCTCTCTGCCTTTGTCTCTATCTGTCTCTCTCTGCGTGGTTCTTCCTCCACCCTGAAATGCTGGCTTTCTGGAGTTCTCTCTTGGATCCGCTTCTCACTTTTGTGACTTCACTCGCAGCCCTCACAGCTCTCTTCAGGGCATGGCCTCCGCCCCTACTCATCTCACCTTACGTCTCTGTCCCAAAGGGGACCCCGCTGACCCATGCTGACACTTCCCACCCCACAGCCTGTCTGGTCCAAGACCTCCATCCTCTCCTGCGTATGTCCCCATTGCATCCCTTCCTGCCTGGTCTCCCAGTTGAATAAAGACAGTCCCTCTTCCTGTCCTGTCTTCTTTTGGGATGCAGCCTCCTCCAGGAAGTCCTCCCTCCCTCCTTCCACCTCCCCACTGCCATGTTCCATCCCTATTCCTGGCCGTCCTCTAGCTCTCCCGGTTTGGGGAGTGGGCTGTAAGCAGCGAGGTCTTTCTCTCATCATGATTTGAGAGAAGGAGATGCTATCCCCAAGAGCAGAGCCCCTCAATGCTTTTCTACAAACCTCGGAAGCCAATGAATGGCTCCCCCAAGGTAGCTTCTCTTGAGCATCTGCCTGGCGTCCATCAGCCCTGCCCAGGAGGGAAGTGGACTGAAGGGCCAGGCGATTGTCAAATCTGGGGCCTAAAATTCCGCTGGGTCAACAAGTCCAAAGAGGAAGTAAAGGCAGGAAGTGGATGGTGGGTTTGGCTGAGTCGGCTGCGCCCTGCTGTCCCCACCCAAGTCCCCCTGCCTCCCACCCACCCGTCTGCTTCCTTCCCTCCACCTGTGCCATGTAACTGTCCCCAGCACCAAGCTGCTAACGTCCAGGTTAACACTGTCTGATAGGAATGCAATGCGATTTCACGTTTTTCCATCAGCCAAGCGAGACACGAGCCAAGGGAAATAAAAAGAATCCGGTAAAATTAACTTTTGTGACATATTTTCATCGACCCGAATATACTTCTGATATTATCATTTCAATATGGGATTGACATAAAAGTTATCAAGAGATTTCACATTTTTAAAAAATCTTTTTGTATCAAGTCTCTGAAACCTGTATTAATTATATGAATATTATATATTATGTGATTATATATTATCTGAAAAATCACTTATGTAATTACATATTAGTTATATTTATAAACATATAATATAGAAATATATAACTATATCATATAAAATATATAACTATATTCTATAACATAGAAAATATATAACACATACTAATACTATATTCATGAACATAATATATGAGATCTTATCTCAGAGTTCATCTCAGATCTTATCTCAGAGTTCATCTCAAATGTTCAGTAGCCTCATGTGGTCAGTAGCTACCGTATTGAAGGACTCAGAGCTAAAATCCTGTGATTCGAATAGTCTGTGAATTCCACTGTGGTATCCTTTGGGGGCAAACAGCCTATGATTCCAATATTCTAAGTCTGTGATTCCAACATTCTAGGCTTCAGAGTCTTTGACCTAGATAAGCGTTCGTCAAAGTCTAGCCCGTGGGCCAAATCTGGCCCCTCGCTTCCTTTTGTGAATGAAGTTTTATTGGAACACAGCCATACCCATTCAGTCTGTGGCTGCTTCATTCTACCTGGGAGGTTGAGTAGTTGTGACAGAGACCACAAGTGACCTCCTGACCAGCCAAAACTAAAATATTTACTCTCTCTTCCTTTACCAAAAAATTTACTGACCCTTGATCTACATATTCAGAGTTTCTGAGATGTTTACAGATGTCTACTTAATTGGTGTACTTTATCACTTACACGTGTCCCATACATTCTTTTCCGTGCACCAGATATTACATAATGATAAATGTTGTTCAAAAGAGATTGGTTTCCTCATCTTAGCCATTCACCCCTTAAGGCTTCTGGAATTCCATGAGTTGAGCTCTATGAAACTGCACTATTTTGGGATGGAGAGGTACAAAGTTTCACTTACTTATGACTGTTAAAAAATTATAAAATGCGCATAACATAAAATTCACCATCATTTAGGATATTCTCAGTGTTGTGTAACTGTCACCACCGTCTACTTCTGGAACGTTTTCAGCACCCTGGAAGAAAAGCCCCCACACCCATTAGCAGTCACTCCCTAGTCCCCCTGTCTTCCCCCAAGCTCCTGGCAGCCACTAATCTGCTTTCTGTCACGACAGACTTGCTGGAATTCAACGCACTTTGACCAATAAAAATGTCCATTTCATATAGG